AGGAGGAGGAGGAGGAGGAGGAAGAGGTTTTTTCCCGCGAGCACAGCGTGGGCGAGCACCTCGCGTCCACCTGCGACAAACCTGGTTAGACCTCCGCACCGCCTGAGGCGGCGGAGGAAGAAAGTGCCTCCACGCCGCTTCCAGCGGCAGAGGCCCTGGCAGCAATCCCAATCGACTCCAGAAAATTCAATTCCTGGGTTCTTGACAGCGCGACCACCTCTCCAGGCAGTCTCTCATTCTTATACGGATGCTTACCTGCCAGCAAACGATTTCGTCGAGTCTTGGCGTTGTGGTCCTTCGGGTCCTTAGGACATCCAGCAAGTAACCCACAAGCCCTGGCGCTCAAAAAGGCGCCGCACTCTCGACAGAAGGTATAGTGGCCTATTCGAGACAGCTTGTGTCGCCTTGGCCCCTGCAAAGGAGCCCCGTCGACACGCGCTATCTTCTTCCACTTACCGTGGGAGGAGAAACCCTTCCTGCAAAACTTACGAGACAACGCCCGCTTGGCCTTATAGCTGTGGGCCCGTCTAGCACAACAAGCACACCGCCAAGACCCCCTATCCCACTCCAGGACGTGCCGAGACTCTGGAGGAGGCAGCACCGAACGGCGCGGCCGAGGGCCAGGGGGCTGGGGGGCATTCTGGAGACGGCCTGTGGTGTCGTCAAACGTGCCTATCTTACAAGTCATGTCACCGACGAGCCCGAGAACAGCACAAACCTCCTTGAACCTAGACACCCACGCGTCACGAGTGTGAGGCGGGATGGCGTCTAGCTTGGCTCCCTCCTTCGCTTGAAGGTCGGCGCATTGATTCCCTAGGTAGTTGCGCAGCTCGAGTCCCTCGAGCTGCTGGGCCTGAGCCTTTTTGGAATGCGCTTTGACCTTGGCGACGACGAGGTCCCCCTCCCCCGAGAACGAATCCTCGATCGCATTCCAAATCATGTGCCATAAATCTGCATGCGGTCGCCTGGCTCGGCGGCACCAAACTGGGCCTCGCCTGAAGCCCCGAACGACTGTGGAATTATCGATCCCTACCTGCAGAGGGGCTGTGCCGCGGCGAAGAACATTCAAGAAACCATGCAATTCAGCTCTAAGCACACTTTGTGCCTGCCTTACTCCTGGAACCGTGCCATGCATCGCTTTGCGTACATTACCGTGCTGGTCAACAGAGCAGAGGCCCCAACCGAACGTTTTCAACCCAGAGACCCCGACCCCCGACCCATCCGAATAGGCCAGGCCCGAGAGAAGGGGATCGTCCCCGTACTCGGGGTCCAGGGTCTCAATGCTGGGCGCGACGTCCTGGAAGGGGCCCCCCAGTGGGCGAGGCGCGAGAGCCCTGGAGAAGAGGCGGGAGGAGGAGCACGAGAAGGAGGCACGGTGGATTATATCAGGATAAGATTCACCTGCAGCCTGGCGCTGCCCCTGAAAAGCTGGACACCTACAAAATCTATGGTGTTGATTTCCGATGGCCTGCCCGCACTTTTGACAACTTCGATCTTCCGAGTGGCCTGCTCTCCACACTTTATCTTGCGTCCAAAAATCGCTGCACAGGAAAGCTAGCATAGCCGACTGCTTCTGGCCCTTTTTCTTTTTTGTCCTGACTGCTGCGCGACAGGGCTCGAGGAAGGGCTTCCGAAAGGGCATGCCTCGCTGCGTTGCCCAGTCGGTGAGCTCTTGATCCTCTAAACGAAGGTAAATATACTTGCGCAGCGTGCTGGGCGCCGATCGGCGCATGTCAAACATTTCACCAGTGTGAATGCGGATGGTGTGCCAGCTAGGCCAGGACCAGCCCAGCCTCTGCAGCGTAAGATTACAAGCAGAAGCTGGCCCTCGAACTTGGCTCCAGGGGCGATCTAGCGTCCGACTCCGTCTGGCCGCTTCGCGTGACATTTCCCTGCGCCAGGCCCTGGCCATGTCTACCTGATGCACTCCATTCCAGGCCTGCGTGGCCCACATGCATAGCGGCCTCTGCGATCCCGCGACCACAGGATCAACTTGATACGTCCAGAGTCGGAGGACTCTGTCTCGACCAATCGCACTACCGCCCAGGGTGCCCGAAACCATGACACGCATTCTGTTCAGAGAAACAGGCGAGACTCCTAAACAGCTCGACCCGTAGGTCACGGACGGGATCACCCCTTGGCGGACAACCCTGGCGAGGCGGGCCCCTTGCTTTGAGAGGGCTTTTAATTTTGACTTGCGCTGGCATGCGTATTTAAATCGCTTCTGCATTTTCTTTCTTTTGCGAACTACGGCGCCTCCAGCGCTGTCCACTCCCAGCTGTGAGCTGGTGTCGGTGATGGCAAGACCCAGGTCTTTGGCCCAAGCAGCGCAGCGATTCCGAGCCGAGGCCGAGGCGACGAGGATGTACCCTTTGCCGCGGGCACCACGGGAGACAGGGATGCGCCAGGTACCCTCAATCTCACGGATATAGAACGTGACAGCAGCCTGCAGAACATTGAGACATCGCAACGCTCCTCGGACCTGAATACTGAGATCGTCGACGAATAATTCCATCTGGAGGCGAGCCCCCCAGGCTTGATGCATTGCATCTGTGACCTGCAGCACCACCATCTTGAGTGCCCTGGTGCCACCGATCGAGCCAGCCACAACGGCCGAAAAGGTTTGAATCGACTTCTTGGCTAGGACCCCTCGAAAGGCAAACAGCCTGGTGGACGTGTAGATGCTGATGAGAAGCTCGGCTAGCTGCTGTGGGAAGCCGCAAAGAGGGGCTACGACCCACAGGGCATTCATGGTTACATGTTCAAAAGCACGCGACAGATCCAGCACCCCCGTCACCGACACCTCCCCCTCACGCGTCCCCTCATCGTGCACCATCTGGTGCCATGCTGCCTCTTCGGAGCCCCCTCCAGGGCCCCCGAAGTCATATTTGCGCTTGGCAGAGCGCTCCCAGTCGTGAAAGAGGCCAGGGTGTGCTCGTTCAACTACACGCATGAGGGAGGGGAGGAGCCCAATCGGCCGTGTGCCTCCCGACTCCTTGGAAAGTAGGAAGTATATGATGTACCTTACCTGCGATGGGAACTGTGCCGTGCGAGAGATAAACATCACTAGCTGAATGAGGCAGTCTTTGCCTTCGTCCGAAATCCAAGCCCACCAGCGTGGGTGCCAGTGGTCGGAGCCTATTCCCGTCCTGGCAGGAAAACTCAAACATATTTTGGTAAACAGCTGGCGGTCCAGGTGAACCAACGGATGGGCGAAACGAGCGGCCTCCCAGGGTCGGTCTGTGGGACCCGTGCTTTCCTGTCCATGGGGGCCCCAAACGTCAAACCACCCTTGCGCAGCCCTGTCGGCCGCTTCCTGAGGACCAGCAAGCTCGAGGTTGGAGACGGAGTAACCCGTGACGGGGGGAGGAGGGGCACGCCACTTGCTGATCCTGTGGATGAAAGAAGAACCTGCTGCCGATTCCGTCTTCAAACGTTCTCGCCATTCTTTTGGCCGTGTGGCTGCCTGCTGCCGCTCGATGTTCTGAGCGTTGGCTACAGCTCGTCGCTGGAGACCCATGATCTCGGGGGCCTGCTCCATGAGCGCTGGGCCCTCGAGACAAAAGGCGCGGTATCGTTCAAACTGGGCGATTACGTGCTCAGCCTCCTCCCCCAAGTCGTGAACCAACCGACTCCTTCCTCCTTCGATGCGGCGCTCGAGCTTTGCTCGTCGCGCGCGTGCATGCATCCAGGTACCTTCCTGCTGGGCAGCTTGTGCGAGGGAAATAAAATCACTGGCTCGTGCGGCGACCCACCGCCAAGCTCGGGAGCTAGGCGTTCCCCTGGGGCGTGCGTGCGATTGAGGACCAGCGAGGGGGGCCCAGGTCCACCGAGGAGGATCGCCCCGACCGAGGTAGGATTGGGGTTCTTCCACGCCCAGGAGATTCACCAGCTCTGTTTCAGCACATTGCGAAATCTGCTTCCAAAGCTGGTCAAGCTGGGTGCCACTTAAATCGTCCTGATGATCGAAATCTGGCCACTGTGCAGGCTGCGGGACTGGTCCGCACGGCCTCTCCATTGGGAAAGGTCTGGGCTTGGCAAGCCTCCAGCCGCCTTTTGCTCGCATCCTGGACTGCATGACTAGGCGAACGGGCGAGTGAGGTGCGGCTGCGGTGTCTAATACTTCTACCGCGTCTCCAAAAGCATGCTGGATGCGGGCGTCGAGCACAAAGAAATCGATGATACTGCCACCGCCGACTCCTGCACACGTGGTAGTGGAAGGGAGTCGCACAACTCCACCCACATCTTGGCACCAACCGGTCTTGAGTAAAGGCTCCCCCGTCTCGTTGAAGTCTGCTTGGAATACCCACGGTATGTCATACTGCTTGATGACCGTTGCAATGGACTCCAGAATTGGCAAATTTCGAATCGTCCAACCTTCCCGTGTCCAAAAGTATGCCGTGATAATCATGAGGCCACCCTTCTGTCCAGCAGAGCACCAGCCCACTGCCACGCGGCCAGGCGACCCAGGAGGTGAGATATCAAACGTATTCATGCCTTCAAGATGTGCAAGGCCAACATTCCTTGGCACGAGGAACCCAACTCCACTAGTCGGCCGTCCGCCTGGGCCGCTGACAGCTGGAACCAGTGCTGCCGTGTAGTGCCTGTTGAAGCTGGCCGCCTCGATGTCCTTGGCAATGGGCGCGGTCAACCTATGCTCCTGAAGGAACGTGATATGCATGGGGCCCACGATCTTCCTTGTAGCGGCCTCATCCAAGACATCAATAGCCTGCGCCCAAGATGAACAGTTGAAGCCTGTGAACTCGAGCCCCACGTTGCGCGTGCCGCCCTTGCCTCGACGACGCGGAGGGCTCGCCTTCGGTGAACTTGACCATGTAGAGAATGATGTACTGACTGCGTCAGGAGGAGACCCTCTGAAAGGTTCTGGCTCCTGCGACGTGCTGGGCTCATGCCATGAACCCGACCATGTAGAGCATTGTGTACTGGTACCTGCAGCCGTGGAGGCCAGGCTGCCGAGCCCGTGCGGGCTAAAGAGGTACTGGCTTGGCGGCTGCCTCCGCCCTGCGAGCCCTGGCGCGCTGCAAGGCCTCCGCCAGCTCCTTGCCAGCGGCTTCACGACCAGCGTCAGGGCCAGCGTCAGAGCTGGCAGCGCCAGGCGAAGCGCCCTGGGCACCCTGCGGCTCCGCGGCGGGCTGGGCAGCCTGCTGGGCCTCCTGGGAGGCCTGGGCTGGCGCCTGCGGCGGGCCTCTCTCGGGGCTCTGGGCCGCTGGCGCCTCCGCAGCCGCCGCCTCCGCAGGAGGGTCCTCGCGCTTGGCCTGGGCAGGCGCCTGCGGCGGGCTCCCCTCGGGGGTCTGGGGCGATGACGCCTCTGTTGCCGCCGCGGTCGCAGGGGGGTGCTCCCGCCTGCGCTTCTTGAAGGTCTCGCGGAGCATCCTGATCTCTTCGAGCTGCTCGCGCTGGGACTTGAGGACGTCAGCCCCTGGCCCGAAGTGCGTGCGGACCGCCTGCTGCACCGACGCCTCGAAGGTCTGCTTGAGCTTGTTGAACTGCTGCCGCTGCTCGGATGTGATATCCAGCCCCTCCAGGTCGAAGAGGGGGCCGTCCTCGATGACAAAACTGGCCTCTCCTTCGCCCAACAAGGCAGAGAGGTTGATGACCCCGCCGCCCTTGTTGGTCCCCTCAGGCTGAGGGTCCTTGCCTGGAGACGCCAACGCCTTCTTCTCCTGCGCCAACTTGACCTCAGCCCCCACCAGGGCGTCAGCTGCCGCATCGGATCGAGCCTGGCATTCGGGAGGAGGAGGAGGAGGAGGAGGAGGAGGAGGAGGAGGAGGAGGAGGAGGAGGAAGGGGGGGGAGGAGGAGGAGGTGGAGGAGGAGGAGGAGGAGGAGGAGGAGGAGGCGGAGGAGGAGGAGGAGGAGGAGGATGAGGATGAGGAGGAGGAGAGGAGGAGAGGGAGGAGGAGCAGGAGGAGGAGGAGGAAGTGCTCCTTGGCGTGTCTGGGCCTCCGGGAGAACAACCCTCGGGCTGCGCCTGGCCGCTGGCTTGGAAACACATAACGCTGCCGTGTACTTGTGTCTTGTGTGTGTGTGGCCCCAAGAGGCCCATGTCCTCCCCATCAATCGGACGTCCATTCCCCGTGCATGCTTCGGCTTCGTGCGTGTACTTGTTCGCCAGATGATCCAGGATAGTCCTCGAGAGTCTTCGCCGAGAAAAGGTGCACACGTCCGAGCGATGCCAAGCGAGGGGCCTTCTCGGGCCTGCCGACATAAGAGCTGCACACGGCACGAAATCGATGCTTATCCGACCTGATACGAGCGGGGTCTCACCGCACTGACGACGGACCCGACGCGACGAAGTGCACGTCGGATCTGACGTGTTGGAGTGGCGACGGAAGCCCGCGTCCCCTGGAATAGGGGGAGGGGCAGGGGAAAAGAGGAGAAGGAGGAGGAGAAGGAGGAGGAGGAGGAGGAGGAGGAGGGGCGGAGGGGGGGGGGGGATGAGGAGGAGGATGAGGAGGAGAGGAGGAGGAGGAGGAGGAGGAATTGGAGGAGGAGGAGGAGGAATAGGAGGGGGGGGGACGAGGAGGAGGAGGAGGGAGGAGGAGGAGGAGGAGGGAGGAGGAGGAGGAGGAGGAGGAGGAGGAGGGGAGGAGGAGGAGGAGGAGGAGGAGGAGGAGGAGGAGGAGGAGAAGAGGAGAAGGAGGAGGAGAAGGAGGAGGACGAGGAGAAAGAGGAGGAGGAGGAAGAGGAGGAGGAGGAAGACGAGGAGAAGGAGGAGGAGGGGAGGACGAGGAGGACGAGAAGGGGGGGGGGGGGACGGGCCGAGGGAGGGACAAAAGCAGGTGGACGAGGCGTACGGGTAATAGAGCAACGGGAAGGAGGGCCGTGGGCGAGAGCACGCGCGGCGGGGGAGGGGCGAGCGAGCGCGCTGCTTGGGGGAGCCCGCCGGTGCCCATCAGGGCATGGCGTGCGTGGAGGCCGTGGCGTCGAAAACGTGATACGTAGGCGGTCTCACGTGACAACCACCACTTGGTGCACCTGGCCGCTGAGAGCCACCGAAGGTCGTGTGTGCTGCTGCGTTGGCGGTGGGGGAGGGGCAGCAGAGGGCAGAGGAGAGAGAGAGAGAGAGGACGCGAGAGTGGGGGGGGGATGGCGAGCTGAGTGCGCTCGCGGGACATCTGACGTCCTGCCCCTCCCTCCCTTCCCTTACGATTGCGTAGCCCCTCTCTAATCGCACAGTCGGGCATCGAAGAAGACATTGATCCTGAAAAGGCAAAGGCAGCGCGACATGGCATGGAATTCGCCGCCCAACGGGCCAGAGGCGTGCTAAGTTCTCCGGTAACCGCTTTGCAATAAGTCTACTTCGCGCGCGCGGGGCGGCCTCTGGGGGCCCCCGGATGAAAAATACCCCGGGCAGGTCACGGGCGACTCGGGTCAGAGATGGTTTTCCTCCTGGGCGTCGCCCTCGAGGCCGTCCAGAGAGCCCCAAGAAAAATAAAGAGGCCGCCAAAAACCCCTCAAGATGCCCAAGAGGCCTACAAGAGCACTCTCAAGAGGGCCCCAAGAGGCACAAGTCATTGCTTTTCCCTAGGTTTTGGAGAGATTTGGGCGTTTCCACCTCTTCGGCTTCCCGACACCCCAAGACGGCCCAAGAGGACCCCAAGACCGCCCGAAGAGGCCTCCAAGACGGCCCGAGAAGGCCCCAAGAAAGGTCCCAGGGGGGGGAACAAATTAGAGCCCTCGGCCCTAAGAAGCCCCCAGGAGTCCCCAAGAGGCCCCTAAGAGGTCCCAAGAGGCCCCCCACAGGGCCTCAGGAGGCCCCCAAGAGGCCCCCAATCGGCCCCAGGATGCCCCCCAAATGCCCCCACGATCACGCAAGCAAGTGCCAACGACTCGACGCGTTTAAGAGTCCCCAAGAGGCCACCAAGAAGCCTACCGAAAAAGTCCCCATGGGCAAAACGCTTCCAGACGGCCCACGACGCGTTCAAGACTCCCCCCGCGGCCACCAAGAAGCCTCACATGCCGAACGCAAAGCCTGCTAAAAACAGCCGCCGCCCCTGCAGCTCCGCACCGTGAAAGACCACTCGGTCAGTCGACAACGGCGCGCAATATGGGCCGGCGGAATGAGCGAAGCGATTCAATAACATGGTATGGCGTGGGAGAGCACGGCAGAAGCAGCATGGCGTAGCATGGTGTGGCGTTGAGTAGGAATCATGGTTTGGATATATGAGCCAATGGCGATCCAATAGTACTGCCAACTCTGCAATGAGAGCGCCATTCCATTGGGCGCAGGTTCCGTGGCAACTGAGAAATGAGGCCAACGTTGTAGCGGGAGTTCTGTCTTGAAAAGCCAACACGCAGGGACCGGGGCTGGGAGGCGCAAGCCATATGCTGATACAAGAGCACGACCAGTGCCGCCTCGAGAGTGCCAATCCTTCGGATGGAGATTCCTGGGCAAGTCAAGAATCCGGCTTCAGAAATGAAGCCAACGCTGGAGCCAGAACAACATTGTCAATGACAGGCACGTCAGAGAGGAAGCCCACGCTGCCAAGGAAACGCTGCTTTGAAGGACAAGTTGGACATGAGGCCAGCGCTGTAGCGGGGGCTGCATTTTAAAAGAACTGAAAACGTGGAGATGACGCCAATGACCGTTAATGACCGAAGAGGAAGCCCTCCGTTTAATGACCGAAAACGCGAAACGATGCCACAGACCCTGTAGCGGGAGCACCGTTGAGAACGACCAAAAACGCGAGAATCAGGCCAAAGCTGCAGCGGGAGTACCATTCTCTAGGGATGGGAACTTTGAAATGAAGCCAATGCTGAAGCGGAAGCACTAGGTAGACTGGAAGGGCTGAAAACGATCGGACCAGAAGAAACATCAGAAATAGCATCTTTCAAAGTCCTGTGCGTGAGCAAGTGCACGGAGAGGAACGGGGGAGAGAGGAGGAGTAGTACACATGTCGTTACTCACGCCATCGCTCGGACGTCCATCCCTCGTCCATGCTTTGTTTCCGCACATGTGCTCCTGTTCGCACAATGGCCCACAATACTCCTCGATGGTTCTCGCCGAGGAGAATTCACCCGTCCGAGCGGTGGGGAGGGGGGGGGAAAAGAAGAGGACCAGGAGCAGGAGGAGGAGGAGGAGGGAGAATGGAGAAAGAGGAGGAGGAGGAGGAGGAGGAGGAGGAGGAGGAGGAGGAGGAGGGGGAGGAGGAGGAGGAGGAGGAGGAGGAGGAGGAAGAGGGAGGAGGAGGAGGAGGAGGTGGAGGAGGAGGAGGAGGAGGAGCAGGAGGCAGAGGAGGGGGAGGAGGAGGAGGAGGTGGAGGAGAAGGAGGAGGAGGAGGAGGAGGAGGAGGAGGAGGGAGGAGGAGGAGGTGGAGGAGGAGGAGGAGGAGCAGGAAGAGGAGGAGGAGGGGGATGGGCAGGGAGAGAGGGGCGGGGCGACCCGGACCTCCGACCACAGCGAGACGCTACCAAGCTGCCGCCCCCTGGACAAGACGAAGCCAGGGAGAGATAAAATCGGGTGAGGATAAATCTCGGGGGCGTCCCCTCCTCCTCCTCCTCCTCGCCTCAACCTCCTTCTCCTCCTCCTCCTCCTCCTCCTCCTCCTCCTCCTCCTCCTCCTCCTGAATCTCGGGGATAAAATCGGGTGAGGTTAAAAAAGGGGGGCGTCAAAGGGGGGGGGGCGCAGATCGTGGCCGCCGGCATGTGCGCGGCCCAGGGAGGGGGGGCCCAGGACGCAATGAAACAAGAAGAGGGACCATGAAATCTAGGGAGATGTCATAGCCCCCGCCATGTCAACACCCCCCTTTTGGGCGCCACCGAGAATCGGGGATCTCCGAGATCCGGCGGCTCTGGAAGATGTCTCGGGCGCCGCGGCCTTCTCATAGCGGTCCGGAACGCTCTGAGGGCGTTCCGGAACGCTCTGGCACGGATTTGTCGCCGTCCTAGCCCCGTCCGATGACCTCCGACAGCAGCGAGATTTTGACCAGCCGCCGCCCCATGGAACACTCGACCCACTCCCCAGGGCTGGCGTTTCACTCCCCGGTCTTCTCTCTTGCGGTTGGACCACGGAACGGCCCCTCGAGGGCGAGAACATCCAAAAAGCTCCCGGCCGACTTCTCCCGCGAACCGCCAGGTGTCCAGAAGGACGGAGGTCGGCGCCCAAGCGCGAGGGAGACCTGGAGGTGCTGTGGCACCTCAGGACGTTGGCCCCCTGGCCCCACCCTGCTCCGAATTCCACTCTCCGGATCACCGGGCCCGCCGGCACGCGCGGGAACGGAAGGACGGAGAGGGGGAGATGGCGGCAGCGCGCGCGCGCGTCCTTCTCCGGCAGGTGGAAGGCAGAGGGGCGGAACTTGGCGAGCACCGTGGTGCCAGGCTTCATCCTGGATGGATGGGACCAGGACCGCCCGAGCAGAGAGGCGCCGAGCCGCGTCGGGCGTCGTCGCCGCCGTCGCCATCTCGTCGGTCGTCGGGAGGAGGTAAGAGAAGACTGCGGGTCTGGGGGAGGAAGACGGAAAGGAGAAAGAGGAGGGGTCGGAGGGGGAGGAGGAGGGCGAGGAGGAAGGAAGCTCTCGGAGGGGCTCGACGGCTTTTGGAGTTACTCATCGGTTCTGCGAGGCGGTCGACGGCTTTCGGAAGGTTTTCTGGGTGGCTGCCAAAGATTTCTTACTGAGGGCCCACCTAACTTGGGCTGGAGAAAAAATCAGAAACCGATGCCGTCACTCGCAGGCGCACTTTGACCAGGATCCCGATGCGGAGCCAGCATTGGCAACAAGCAGAACGCCCACGAAGGCGAGAGCGAGAGAACAGTTATCTTTCAGATGGCGGACTTCGGAAACTCTGAACCCAAAAACGTGTTTATCTTTTGGGGGCGCATCCTTTACTTTCGCCGCCATCCGCCGAGCTTCCGCCGGCTTCCGCCGGCGGCGGCGGCGGCCTCGTTTTACTTCTGCCGACCTTTCATCGCGGCGGAAGAGATGACACCTCTTTCGATCCTCGAAGGCAAGGCCCTCTGGAACGATGATGATGCTAATGCTGATGCTGATGATGATGACGATGATAATGATGGTGATGGTGATGGTGATGGTGATGGTGATGAGGATGATGATGTTGTGTTCTCCAGCGCTGCTGACAGATCTAATACTTCATGACACGTCAAACAAATCACATAAAACAGAGACAACACAAACAAACAAATAAGCAATCAAACAAACAAACAAACAAACAGACAAAACACGCCACGGTGCCGCAGGGCACGGGGTGGGCGTGTCCTCGGGTCCTGCGCCTGATCTCCCAATCCTCTGAGCTTCAGTCCTCACTCCTGGGGAGTCTGTACAGGGCCCAGAGCCCACGTTGCCACATCTATCGGGGCTTGTCGCGGTTCTACTGGGCTCCGGCGCATCCCCCCGTGATTTGTCGGCCCTATGACGCGCCAAGATGGCCCCAAGAGGCCACCAAGACGGTCCAAGAAGGGCTCCGAGGTAGCCAAACATCGCACCCAGACGCCCAGGATGGTCCCAATACGGCCCAAGAGGCCTCCGAGATGCCCCAGCTGAGCCCCAAGAACCTTGCCAAGTGGGCCCCGAGAGGCCACAATCATTGATTTCCCATACTTCTTTCAATGATTTGGGGGTCCTCGACTTTTCGAGCTCCCGACGCTCCAAGACGGCCCAGAAAGCCCTCTAGACCGCCCCAGGACGGTCCAAGAGGCTCCCAAGAGGGCCCCAACACGGCCCAATAGGACTCGACAGCCCCAGGGGCGCCCAAGACGGCTCAAGACGGCCAAAAAGGAACCCCAAGGATGGCCCATGAGCGGGCACACGAACCGAGAATTTAGTCATCCGCCTCAAGAAGCCCCCAGAGGGGGCCCAAGAAGCCCAAAGATCCCCGCGAAAAGCCCCAAAGACGCCCCAAGAAACCCCAAAACGGCCCCCAAGAGGCCTCAACACGGATCCCAAGAGGCCCCCAAGAGACTTCCGATGACATCCCAACGAACATCCGAGGGGGCCGATGTCCAACAACCCATGCACAGTGACGAGATGAGTGGATGAACCGAAAGCCATTCGATACTAGATCCCCCCAAGCCATGCACGTACCGTTCAGCTTGTCGTATCGCAGCTTGCTTATGAGATTGCTGCATCGTGCTTTTTCCATCCAAATCAAACCACCGTAATGTATATGGCTGCCGCCCCCCAACCATCCTTGTCAAATATTCGTATGCGGGCACATCGTTTACACCATAAAACATGAGTGATACACTAGGTACAACCATACACCATAACCCACGCGCGCGCTCATGCCGATATCACAACAAACACGTGAATCCTGCAACCACCCGAAAAACATTCAAGTCTCTGGGGCGTTTCGTCAACACTCGCGCGAATGCTCTGCCAGCACGAACTTGCTGAAGTACACGAAAACCGCAGGATGCTAGCAATCTCGGCAAACAACCGTATTCGCATCGCACCACGCGATGCATCCGCGCTGACACAGCATGCACCCATTCCACGAACCCGAATCAAGTACAACCATGCGGGCTACACCCGCGCGCCGCCACACGCGTGTCGAAACCCGTCCCCAACCATTGGCTTTAAAAATATGTCAGGAGAAAGTTCTTCAAGCACAGATCTAGAAAACCGTAGCGTTCAACGAAAGTGCTGCCAGCTTTATTTAATGTCTGCGCGCGCATGTTGCCCATCATCTTCCCCGCCAACGCCCTGGCATCACCACCGATACGGTAATCCCCTTTTTACCGCCATTGCAGTCATCATCATCATCATCATCATCATCGTCATCATCATCATCATCATCATCATCATCATCACAATCGCCTTCCTCACCTACACATTGACATCGTCATCGTCATCGTCGTCACCAGCATCGGCGCCGTCATTGGCCTTGCCGTCGTCATCATCGTCGCCCTCCCCGTTAAGATCATCAACGCTGCCACCACTGTCGACGTCATCATGAGATCGTGCCTGCCCGAGTTTCGGACACGCACTGGCCTTTGAGACGCGCTGGGAAGGTCCCATCGGTAAGCGCCATCGCGGCCGCATCAGCTGTGCCAAACCAGCCGGCCGGCATCGGTGCGGCCGGGTAGCCGAGGCAAGCGGCACGTCGCCGCGGACGAGGGCTGCTGGGCCTGAGCGGGGCCGCGCCGGGCGCGGGCGCCCCCCGCGGGCCCTCCCTCCCCGTAGGCCGCATCCTGCCGCTCGTCGTCATCGTCCTTCGTGTCGTCCGTCGTGTCGTGCCATTGGGCCCCGTCTGCGCTGGTAAACAAAAAAAATCAACCGGCCGATCTGCGCGGGAGCGGCAGGGGGCGTCGCAGGGCGCCCCCTGCCGCTTGGGGGGCCCTGGGCAGGGGGGGGCCTTCCTGGAGGGATATGCGCCGCCGACTCTCCTGCCGCCCTCCTTCTTGCCCGCCGCCAGCTCCGTGTCCATCCCCAGCCCTCCCCCATGCTGCCCCACGACATACAGTGGAGGCCCGACCACAAGAAACCTTCTTCAAGAAACCCAGCCCTGAGACCCCAGGACATCCCTTGATTTTTGGTGTGGGAACGTCACGCCTTCCACAGCAGAGCCATCGACACCCAAGAAACCCAGGGCACCCCTGGAGGCAAGCAGGGTGTTTCTTGGCACGGGTCTCCACTGCACCCTTTTCTGCCTCTCTCTCTCTCTTTCTCTCCCTCTCTCTCTCTCTCCCGCCCCATACCCCACCCCTCGGCTGGCGCCAGCGTTGGTGGCCGACACTAACAAGCTCCTGTCCAGCTCATCGCCCTGCCCAGCTCATCGCCCTGCCAGCCCCGCCTGCCCCCAACGCTGGTTGCCGGCATCATCCCGTGCTCGCAGACTCTTTGGCCCTGCCTGGTGCCAGCGCTGCTTTGCCGACGTTCGCCTCTAAAAGCCACTGATCGGTCCCACTCGCTCAATCAGCTCAGCTAGTTCTCGGCGGCGAGCCCAGGGGGAAGCGAGAAGGGGCGGGCCTTCCCAGAAGGCTCGGAAGTCCTCCGGCCTTCTAAGCCTTCCCCGAAGACGCAGATCACTTCCCAGACGGCCGAAGGGCCTCTGAGAAGCCCCGCCGCCTACTGAGAAGGCCTTCGCCTTCTCACTTCCCCCCTCGCTCGCCACAGACTAACAATCACTGGTCAGCTCAACTCGCTCAATCAGTTCTGATAGTTCTGCCTGGCAGCAAAGCCAATTCCTAACACTGGCCCGCCCTGGCCCCTCCTCGACTCCACCCTGTCTAATCTCCATGACCCTTGCCATCGCTCGGACGTCAATTCCTCGTGCGTTTCTCGGTTTCTCGGTTCCTTTTGCTAAGTGATCCATGATGCTCCTCGATGGTCCTCGCCGAGAACAAATACACACGTCCGAGCGGTGCCAAGGACCCTGCCAGGCACCACCTCCGAATGCCGACACGGGCCCTGCGTCGGGGGTCCGCGCGTCGGAATCATGAAGGAACCAGTCGTCCAGCCGTCACGGAACAGCCTGGCAACAGTGCGGACCCAGAGTGGCCTTGCCGGACCCTCTCAAGGTTGGCGTGTGGGTCGATTTACCTTGGCCTGTTGGAGGCTAGGACTCCCATCTCTGTTATGCTGGTGCCAAACTTCTGATCGAGAACGAAGCCAGGACCACAATCTACCACCAGGCCAGGGCAAAGCCCGAAACCAAGATCGGCCCAGACCAAGTAAATACAATGATACAATGCAAAGCAATACGACAACCATCGCAAACCAGACAAATACACATTCCGCAAAACAGATCCAGAACGTGCCAGACCACACCACACCCTGACACCGCGCGCAGGTCCTGGTGGTAATGAAGCCGGAGCAGCTGCCGAAGAAGCGCGGGCGGCTCTCCGGGACCGCGCCGTCGGCCAGGCACCCGATGGCCTTGAGCTGCTCGGCCAGCTGCGAAAGGGCGCCTGGCTCGTGGCTGGTGAGGCTCACACACAGCGCGATTTTGTCTGGAAACGCCTTGGGGGACGAGGCGATCGTAAACTCGCGGGCCTTCTGCCGCGGGCAGTGCAGCAGGAATTCGCTGGCGTCTATGGAGGCGATGCCCAGCATGGACCAAAACTCGTGCATGCGGCAGCAGAGCGGAGCGGCGCCAAGTGCTTTGACGGCGTCGGCGTCGGCGAGCAGCTTGCCCAGCCTGTCACGAGCAGCTGGGTCCTTGAGCGTCGGCTGCACCGCCGACAGCATCTTCTTGGTCGGAGCGCGCGCAAGGTCGCAGTAGCGCGCCAAGGCCTCACGAAGAGTGCAAGGCGTCGGGAATGGCTTCTTGATCTTGATGCCAGGGCCCTCGGCCGCGACGAACGTGACCGACTTGTCCAAGTCTGCCTCGGCCAGACCCATAAGCTTCAGCGACGCGGCCACGTCCGCTGGGTCGCTCTCGGGCAGCACGGACAGCGTGCCGCCGAGCGTATAGCTCTTGAGCGCGCCGACCGCCTCCACCTCCACCTGGGGGTCGCGAGAGGAGGGCGCCCACACGCCCACCAGAGACAAAGAGGCGGGAAGGCGCAGCCCATGCCAGGGAAAAGCCAGCTCGAATGAGAAAGTTAGGGGCGCTTCCTAGAGGCAGCATGGATACTCTGAGGCGATCCTGGGCCTCGAGGTCGAGACAGCTCCTGGGAGTATCTTCTGGGAGAGCAACTGCCTGCAGCCTGGACCGAGACGGGGAACATCTTCGATTGACTTCTGCGCCAGCCTGGGCCAGCTTTCAACCAGCCTTGCCAGCCTGTCTGCCATGGCCAACTTACAAACAAACTGAGGGTCAGCTGCCTGACTTGAGATGAAGACTTCGGACAAGCGCGTTCCTCGCAAAGTAGCTACTCACACATGGCCTGGATCCCTTCCACCTAGGCAAACAATCTCCATGACATCGAACAACAGTATTTTGGGGGGCGTTTGCGAGTAGGAGGCACTTTTGCGAGCAGTGGAACGCGCTTGGTGAGACTTCTCACGGCCAGCCCGGGCCCACTGTCTTCAAGCGCCCGGCCAGCGCTGCCCACGGCCACGCGGACTGCGCGGCAACAGCATCAGAAGCCACGCCGGCGGGCGTGGAAGTGCGAGCGCGGCGCGCGTGAAGGTCTCTGGCCCCTCGGCGACCCACCGTCTGGCCGAAACGGGCGCGAGCCCCCCGGGAAACGAATGCTGGCATCCTGAACACGATGGAGCTCGGCCCAGATACAATCAACCCGTATCAGAAGGACGCACGAGAAGGATGCGAGTGCCTTGGAAGGCCGCTTCGAAGCTTTTCGAGCGGGGCGCGGCCAACGAAGGTGGCCAAGAATGGGCCGAGGATGCAAGGATGCAAGGGCACCCTTGGTTGCCCATCCTTACTATGCCGGCTGGCTGTAAACATCTTCCATGCCACCTCCCATGCAAGGGGCCAGACACCGGGCCGACCCTTCAGGAGAAAAAGGGCCACACAAGCACAGGGGCCCTGACGAGGAGACGAGGCGTTCCGATCATCCCCGGTTGAGGTTGTAGAATTAGGTCGGGCATGTCCCCCTACAGGCAGATTTTGGACGAAACATAAAAAACAGTCAACAAAGATTTAAAAACAGATTCAAAAATAGTCAAACATGCATCCCCCGACTACTTTTGACCAGTTTTGCATCTCCCTCCTGTCGAGGGACCGGCCCGACGTAAAGGTTGTAGAAGGGACGGGGGGGCTGAACCAAGCCAGAGCGATGGGCGCCCATGCGCTTCCCGAGCGGACGACGCGGGGGCCCCCATCGGCGACGGACGATCACTGGACGCCGTCCCTCTCGGGGGGAACGAACGGGGGGGATAGCACAGGTAGGGAGCCCACAGAGGACGTACGCGACCAACTATGTACATGAACACGGCCCCTCGATCTGCGAGACCGGCCGCGTGATACGAACTTTCGGACAATGCGTACTCTCGAAACCAGCGTGGATTCATGTACGTGTACGTCCTTCTTTCGCTCCTGAACAGGGCAGGGCGCAGACTCAGCTCGCGCAGCGGACTTTCCCCGGCGCCTCCCGGCGCCGGGAGGCGCCCACGCATCGAGGAATTCGGCCCGGCGGCGGGGCCGAAACCGGCCGCACGCCGCAGATTTCGTACCCCCCCTTTCCCCATGCCCCCCTTTTGTTCGGCCCGACCCTCCCCCCTCCGAGACCGTCCTCCGCCCCACCCCCGTCCTACATAATCGCTCTCAGTCCTCCTTCCCTGCAAACTTACATTTTCTCCTTTCGCATCTCCTATTCCTCCTGCTTCTCTCTTCGTCCTGGTCGTTCTCCTCGCATCCTCCTCGTCCTCGTCCTCCTCTTCCTCCTCTTCCTCCTCCTCCGTCTCATTCATCTCCTCCTCTCCCCTTCCCAGCATTTTCTCTTGATGTTCCTCCTCCACCTTCTCCTCATTTGAACAATTTCTCCCTGTCTTATCCCCAGACGTGTTGGTAGGGCGGGCTGGGCGTTTCGCCTGAGGCTTCATCACCCAGTATGACCCTGAAGCTTGAAACTTACAGCAGCTTCACGTCTGAAGGGCGGCTTGTCTGCAAATAACAAAGCGCACGTTCGTCCTAAAAGTTTGCAGCAGTTTCAAGGATGCAGGGCGGGTGGTTTTCGAAACGTGGCTCTCACCCTAGCGACGCGCACATGCGTCTTGAAGCTTGCAGCAGCTTCAGGGCGGGCCGTTTTCAACATGTGGACCCCGCCTTAGCGCCGCGTGCACTCTTCTTGAAATGTTGGAACAGATTCCCGTTTGGAGTGGCCGGTTTCAAATGTGGTTCTCGCTTAAAGCACCGCGCACATTCTGCTGAAAAGTCTGCAACAGCTTCAAGGGTGGAGGGCGGTTGCTTTGCAGAATGTGACGCTTGCCTCAGCGCCGCGCGGATTCGTCTTACAGAATTGCAACCGTTGCATGGGTTCGTCTGGTTGTGGTGTACTGCTGCGATTGAGGATTGGCAGGACGCAACAGTCACGTTGATTCGCGATGGTGAACTTCCAGGAACGATACTTTGGAGCGATATAGGGTTGACAGGACGCAACGGTCACTATGATCCGTGGCGTTGACATCCTAGGAATGGCGTTCTGGCACGAGTGGGGAGTCTCAGACGGTTGTCTTCTAATGGGCTGGTTCCCGCAATCTATTTATATATATACATGTGTATATATAAATATGATTCATGCAGGGGCATGTGAAGAGGGAACTGTTTGACAACGATGATTAGTATTGCAAGTTGGGAGTATGGTTTGCGACAGCGTTGAGGAAGGATGTATTGCAACAACGTTGATGAGTATTGGGTTTGCACTTGTCCTTCTAGTCGTCGTCCTCCCGCTCCTCCTCTTCCTCCCACCTTCGTCCTGCCTGTCCTTCCTCCCTCCGACTCCTCCTGCTCCTACTCCTCCTCTACGTCCACTGTCTGCATAAAACCCGCCCAGATCCTCCAAGGATGCCCGAGGACCCCGATCCCCCCCCCCGAAGAGCAAGGTGGCCGCACATCGCGGTTTACTCTGCGAGATGCGCGGTGCGCGCTTCGGTTTCGCGTCAGCCCCCCTGGATGACGCAGCTCCTGCAAAGGGCGCAAAGCGCGAAACACAGTTATCTTTACGCCCGTGTGGGCGATCTGATAGCATTCCTCCCGAGCCAGCGAGCGTCCGTACCATCCTGCTCATGCTCCTCATTCGCCCTCATCCTCCTCCTCCACCTCCACCTCCACCCCCTCCTCCTGCTTCTCCACCTCCACCTCCTCCTCCTCCTCGTCCTCCTCCTGCTGCTCCTCCTCCTCCTCCTCCTCCTCCTCCTCCTCCTCCTCCTCCTCATTCTCCCTCCCTCCTCATTCCCCCTCGCCCCCTCTCTCCCCTCGCCCCCACGCCCCCCCCCCCCCCCCGGGCCCCCGCCACCTCGGCGGTGGCGAGGCCCCCGGCAACGTTGGGGCTCTGCCGCAGCTCCCGGACCCTGAGCACCTCGCGCGGGGGGGGGCCCCTGCCGAGGCAGGGAAAGGCCGGGGAGGGGGCGGGGGGGCGGGGGCAGAGGGCCGGGGGACAGGACGGAGCTGAGCAGGCCCTCGTCGCCACAGCTGGGCTCGCCACCGTGTGCCCCCTGGCTTCCTCGCGCCATCCGCAGGCAGCCCGGGATGGTCAGAGGGAGCGACCAGGCAGAGGAGCGGGGGGAGGAAGAGACGGGAGAGGATGTGGGAGAGGAGGAGGAGGAGGAGGAGGAGCATCATGGGCATGCTCCTCCTCCTCCGCCTCTTCTCCCCCCCTGCTGGCATTGACGCAAAGGCCTCGCTGGCACTTCAACTTTGCGAGCTCTCGGCAATACCGCGGTGGTCGCCCTTCCACTCCACGGCTCCACGAGAGGAGCCAGCACCACGCTTCCCATTCCAAAGAGCTCGCGCAACGAATTCCACCGGCACCACGTCCCTACCGACACTACAACCGGCAACATGTTCAAACAACCTATCATGTAAGAAATCTGGGCCAGCTTCAAGGGAAATGTCTTAGACGTGCGTGGCCATTTTCTTTTGGCAATTCCGTCCGTTCTTACGGCTTCTTACGACAAGCCTGGGCCAACTTCTGGCGTTGGCGCTGGAGGGCGCTCACGAAACAGTGGAAAACACACACGTGTGTGTGTGTGTGATTGTGTGTGTGATTGTGTGTGATTGTGTGTGATTGTGTGTGTGCGTGTGCGTGTGCGTGTGTGTGTGTGTGCGTGTGTGCGTGTGTTTCTCCACATGTGTTCCACAGATGTGTGTGTGTGGTTGTCTGTGTGTGTATGTGTTTGCGTGTGTGTTTCTCCACATGTGTTCCACATAAGTGTGTCTGTGTGTGTGCTGTGTGTGTTTGTGTTTGTGTGTTTTGTTGTGTGTGTGTTCCTGTGTCCACCGTGTGTTTTGTTTGTGCGTTTGTTTGCGTGTTTTTGTTTCCACTGGCCAGCTTTCCGGCAAGTTGGTTAAGAGACGCCGGAACAGCCTTTAGGCAAGAGGTTTCTCAGCCAGACGACCTGCAGAAGGCTTCCCGCTCCAAGGAGCCTCGCCCCCCCTCCTTCTCCTGGCCCGTGCCCTTCCCGCTACCCTTGTGGATGCCACGACAATGGACACCCCTCGCAATCCTATCATTGAGGTTGAGATGTGTTTAAAATGTCGGAAACATGTTCTAAGCATGTTTTAAACATGTGTTTAACATGTTTGAACATGCTTAGCTAATCCCACGTTCCCCCACCACGTATATATAGACCGCGTCGGACCGCGCTATGCCGATACCTTGCTACTCAACCTGTGTCATGTCCTTCTACTCCGCGAGTGTCCCCATCTAGGGAAGCCGCGTGGACGACGCGTCGAAATGCGCCCGCCATGCGGATGCCCTGTTACTTACTTAAATCGGGGATGGACAGACCCCCCTTTAGTAAAACGTGGTGTAGTGAAAACGACCTGAGGCCCAAGCCTGGCGGGCGCAAGCCTGGAAAACAATGGCCGCGGCGCCCTCTCGAGAACCGAAAACGGACAATTCACTAATCGACGTGTCACTATTGGGGGTTCTGTCCACCCCCGATTGAAAAGAACTCGTGCCCGTCCCTCTCCACCAGCCTCGTCCCGCCAATACCACGTTCCCCCCTGCAGGGATCGGCTACACGCAAGAGTGGCCCATAGGCCAGAGTGACCTCTGGTGCGCGGCCTGTAGCGGGGGTCGCGGAGCGGCCAAGGTCAGGCGCGCAAGCCGCTGCTGCCGCTCCGCGCTCGGCGTTCTCGGGGGACCCCGCTGGGCCCGCACCAAAGACCATTCCGGCGAAACGCCACTCTTTCACTGTGCTGGCCTTGCAGACGTGCTGCAGCGGATCTCTGCGTGGATTCTTGCCCGAAGCGGCGAGCGAAAAACGAAGTGAAGTTCGCGTGGATTCTTTTTGGTCTCCATTCCTGGCCAAACGAAATCCGCACGAGATTCACCTCGAAATCCGGAACGAAATTCTCCAGAACACCCAGGGCCCACCGTGTCGTTTTCCGTACGAAACCCGCCTTAGCAGCGAAACGAACGAGGCCGCGAACACAGGCGCAGGCGCGGGCGCGGGGGCAGCAGCGGGCGCGGGGGCAGCAGCGGGCGGGCCCCGGGCTGGGCGCCGCCATCGCGACCCGTGGACACTCCGACCAGCCCGGACAAGCGCATTCCACTGCTCGCAGAATGTAAGCACTCGCAGATGGCCTGGATCCGCCGCCAGGGATTCACGATCCATTCTATAGAGAGGAAGACCTGTTTTCTTCCTTCGGACGTTTTTGGAGGCCTGGAAATTGGCACCAACCCCAACATAGGAGTCTGCCTCCACAGGGGAAAGATGATCCTCAATTTCGGTGTTGGTGGTAGTATTGTGGCCACCGCGGAAGCCAGAATATTACCACCATCGCCGAGATCGGGATCTCCTTCCTTCGGTGGCGGCACACCACCGATGTTGGTGCTGGTGTCAACCTCTGGGCCTGCGACGTTTGCGAGTAGGCCCTCTGCGCGCAGCGGAACTAGAGGCCTCCTAGATGGGGTCGGAGTAGATGGGGTCGGAGGATCGCGCCGCATCGCCGATACATCGGCAATGCATCGGCGATGCATCGGCGATGCACTGGCGATGCATCGGCGACGTTGGCGATGCATCGTCGACGCCGGCGCGGAGAACATCGAGCCGCAGCGGCGATGCATCGGCGGTGTGGCGCGATCCTCCGACCCCATCTACGGCAGGTTCGTGTCGTGTCGACCCCGGCGTTGGTTTTTGACACCGCAGGGATCGTTCAACCTTGAACGATCGGCCGCTGCCGCAACGTCCGATCGTTCAACATCGATCGATTCTGGGTCGCCGGCGGCGTTCAACCTTGAACGTCCGCGCTGGGGTCGCCGCTGGTCGACACGACGCAGACCTACCGTACTCCGACCCCATCTGGGAGGCTTAGAGGAACGCGCTCGGTGACGGCGGAGAGGCCGCGCGGCGTCCAGCACGCGGCGAGGCGGCGAGGCGGCCCCCGGGGCGGCGGCGAGGCGGCCGCGCGAGGCGGCGGCGCGAGAGGCCGCGCCGAGGCGCTCTCCGAGAGGCGGCCGCCGAGGGGGCGAGGCCGACAGAGCGACCGCGAGGAAGGCCGGCGGCAGGGCGAGGGCCGGGCCTTGGCCGAGGAGGAGGAGGAGGAGGAGGAGGAGGAGGAGGAGGAGGAGGAGGAGGAGGAGGGGGGGGCGGAGGAGGAGGAGGAGGAGGAGGAGGAGGCGGAGGAGGAGGAGGAGGAGGAGGAGGAGGAGGAGGAGGAGGAGGAGGAGGAGGGGGCGGAGGAGGAGGAGAAGGAGGAGGACGACACAGAGCAGAGTTTGCGCAGAAACAGTCGCGAACTCAGCGCGAAACCCTCGCGCGCGCGCTTTTGAACTCCTGCGACTCCACAATCCCCCGTTCTCTGCCGCTCCCCACCTCCTCGGGCCCCCCAGGGCACCGAGAGCCTCCGAGCTCCAGAAGAGGTCCTGGCCACGCGTTTTCCGTGCCGTTCCCGCTCCACGAGCCCCACGGACACCGAGTTTCCCCCACGGGCCTTCCCACGTCGCGACTCCCAGCAGTGCCACGTCTCCCCCTCCCAGGAGGCCGCGCGAGAGCGAGCCGCTGTCGGGATATAACAACTCGTCTACTAAATTTGCTGTCCCCTCCTTGCGCGCGCATCCCAATTACAACTGAAACAACCCCAATCAGTGGATGCCTTGAAAATTTATACTATGGATCTTGAGATCGATTGTGAGATCGATAGTGGAATCGATAGTGAGGTCGATTGTAAGGTCGATCGTGAGACCGAGAGTGAAATCGATTCAATGAGATCGATAATGAGATCGACCGCGAGATCGCTCATGCAATCTCTAGTAAGATCGCTTGTGAGATCGATAATGAGATCGATTGTGAGATCTATGGTGGGATCGATAGAGAAGGGGTAATGAGATCGATGGTGAGACCGATCGATGAGAAGATCGACCCAAATCCTGGGAACCCAGGAACCTCGCCGCCCTCCGAGATCGGCCAAAAACCAATGACCAGGAACCGAGGAACCCAGAACCGGGAACCCGGGAACCCAGCGTGCGACCAACATCGCCAGGACATTTTCGCCAAATCTTTCAACTTCCGCAACGACCCCTTCAGTGCAAGCACTGATTGGGGAATAAGAACACTGGAACCGCCATATCGGGCCAACCTCGGCCACCTACGGCGCTCTTGGGGATCCGTTGGGCCGTCTTGGAGGCCCCTGAGACCCTGGGGCGTGACACAAGACGCCAGCATCGTACACATTATGTTGTTCTTTGCAGGGTTCGACCGATCACGCCGTTGCGGTCGCCAGAACGTCCAAGACGGCACAAGGAGACCCAGAGACCAGCACAAGACGAGCTCAAGCAGGCTCCCAAAGGGGCCCCAAGGAGGCCCTCCAGAAGGAGAAGGAGGAGGAGGAGGAGGAGGAGGAGGAAGAACACGCCAACCCCTTCGCGGCACGGGGGGGGGGGTGACGTGCGTGACAGCGTGCGGTCTGGCTTGTATGGGGGCCCGGTGGCCCTACTGGAAGGTGCCAGCGGTGCTCGCCGGCCACTCGGCGGGAGGGTCGCTAGGACCCACGGTGGGGTGGCGTCGGCATGTGGCTGCCTGCGTCGGCCAGTCGGCCGAGGTTCGTTCAGCGACCGACGGCGGCGGGTGCCGGCGTGCTGTCGTTGGACGGTCGTCGGGCCGTCGTCGGACGGGCGGCCGCCGGGCAGACGCTGGTCTGCCGGTCGGCGGCGGGACGTCGAAGGGCTTCTCCCCGCTAGGGGGGACAGCTGTCGAGCTGGACGTGCGCAAATGGGCAGTGTCAGTATTGGCTAGCCGGAACACCCAGTGCTTGTTGTGCTCCCCCCGTTCGGCCGACGACGGTGCAAAGGCGGCCGTTGATAGGGCTTCGCCCCTGGCTGGTAACCGTCACCTCGGTACATCCGTGGATATGTCGAGGAACAGGGAAAGGAACGAGACCAGTGTCGCCGGTCAGCGCATCGGCACAATCTGCCGATGCGTTGGCCCTGGTGAGACCTGATGGTCCCGACGTCGTGGGGGATGGTGGTGGCGTTGTCGCTGCCAGCCGAGCAGTGATGCTGCTGTGGTGGCTGCTGCGGGTGCTTCGGCGGGACCCGCGGCGCGGCGCGAACCTCGGGGGTGACGCCCACAGCGGTGCCCAGGTGGCCTGGCCTGCTGGAGGGTCACCGTGCGGATGTGGACCCGGCCCCCCTGGGGGACCGTGGTGGTGCCGCTCGGTTCGGCGGTCCTCCCAGGGATGCTCGGCAGTGGTGCCGTGATGGCCCTCCAGGAGTCGGCGGGTGAGCAATCGGTCAGCCTGCGTGCTTGCAGGCGGGCGTCGATCGTCGCCGAGAGCAGCTGTGGGGCAGCACAGGGGGGCGAAGACGGCGAGGGGGGACAAGGCAGGAGAGGGAAGGAGGAGCGCGAGGCAGGGGAGGGGGGAGGGAGCGAGGATCGGCTACGCGTAAGAGTTTATACAGTGGAGGCCCGACCACAAGAAACGTTCCACAAGAAACCCAGCCCTGAGACCCCAGGACGTGCAGTGACTCTTGGTGTGGGAACATCGCGCTTTCCATTGCAAAACCATCGAAACCCAAGAAACCCAGGGCACCCCGGAGGCAAGAAGGGTGCTTCTTGGCATGGGCCCTCACTGTATTGCATGTTCGGGGGACCGTGTCTGTCCCGTCGCGTCCCTGCCCGCGTCGAATGCGTGGTGACCTCGTCGAGGCCGCGTCGAAACCACGTCGGGTCGTCCTCGTCGAACCCATTCAGGCTCCGCGTCGAGTCCACCTCGAGCCCGCGCCAGGCTCAAGAAAGAGCACCCATTCTGGGGGACAGGCGCCAGGGCCCCCGAAGGCACCACGCAAGCAGGAGTGACCCTGCAGGCAAGAGCGACCCTTGGGCGCGCGGCTGGCCGATCCTCGCTGCCCGCGGTGCGACAGCGGCGGGCTGCATGCTTGGGCGCAGCCTCCCCGCGCCCCAAGAACGCCGCCGCACCAAAGGCCACTCCAGCGAAGAGTCACTCGTACGGGCAGCCGCGATCAGGAGGGAACGGGGGGGAGAAAAGGAGAGGAGATGAGAGAATGAGGAGGCAGGGCCGGAGAGGGGAAGGGGGCAGCGCTCCTCGTCGTCGTTCGTCGTCCGTCGTCTCGCGCGACGTCGCCGTCTCCGTCGTCGTCTCCTTTGTCGTGGTATCGATGTCGTCGCCACCGCCGCCATCGTCGCCGTCGCCGCCAACGCTGGCGTCCGTGGTCGTCCGTCGTCCCATGTGTCGACTCGTCCGTCAGCGTCGTCGTTGTCGTCATCGTCGTCGTCCGCCGTCGTCGTCGCCGTCGTGGTCGTCGTCGTCGTCGTCGTCCGCCGCCGCCGCCGTCGTCGTCGTCGTCGTCGTCCTCCTCGGCGGGGTCCTCGTCGTCGTCGCTGCCGCCTCCGTCGTCTGGGGGGGGGGCCGAGGGCGAGGCTGCGGGGGGGCCCGCTCCGCACCTTGGTCCGCTCGGCCTCGAAGTAGAACCGCGACAGGACGTCCGCGGCCTCCCCGGGGGCCTCCTGCGGCAGGTCGGACGTGGCCGCGGCCATCCTCGAGGGGCAGCGAAAGACGAGGGGGACAGGGGAGATGCATGGGAGGGAAAAGGGGAGCTGGGTGGGGAGGGAGAGGAGGCAAGGGGGGGCCTCACGGTCCCTGCTGATGTTGGCTCCTCCTCCTCCTCCTCCTCCTCCTCCTCCGCCTCCTCCTCCTGCACATCATCATCACCGTCATCACCATCACCATCACCATCACTATCACCATCACCATCATCATCATCATCACCATCATCATCATCATCATCATCATCATCATCATCATCATCACCATCACCATCATCACCATCACCATCACCATCACCATCACCATCACCATCACCATCATCATCATCATCATCATCATCATCATCATCATGATCATCATGATCATCATGATCATCATGATCATCATGATCATCATGATCATCATGATCATCATTATCATCATCAGCATCAGCATCATCAGCATCATCATCATCGTCATCATCATCATCGTCATCAGCATCAACAGCGTCATCATCATCATCATCATCGTCGTCGTCGTCATCATCATCGTCATCGTCATCTTCATCGGTATCGTCATCACGAGGCGCCCTCCGGTGGGCACTGGGCAGAATCCCGGCAGATCCAGCCAACAGAATAGGGACACCCGCATGGCGCCCCCAAGTGGGAACTGGGCGAAACCACGGAAAACGAAAACCCCGGCCGGCGCATACATGGCAGCCACGAGGCGGCCACGGGCGGGCACTCGACGAGAGCCCGGGAAACTCACCAAAGCCACGAAGCCCAAGGTAAGAGCCTCTCAGCTATTGCAATCCACTGCCTCGGGGGATGCTGCGGATCCCCGATCCCCCCCCTCGGCTCCCCTCAGCCTCGGCCCTTCCTCCTCCCCCGAGCCTCCACGCCCGTCGACGAGTCCTGAGCACCGGGGTCCCCATGCCCGCCGCGCCGCCGCCGGGCCCCGCTGGCGCGCCGTTGACGGCGGCGCCCGCGCCCGCGGCCTTGGCGGCGAACGCCTGGGGAGGCCCCCGCCACGCCCCCCCCCCCCCTTCGCCACCCACAGGTTGGCCTTGGCTCCGCTCCCCGTGTGCCGACCAATTGGCGGTCTCGCGCCTCCCCGTGGCTGCTCCCCGGCGGGCGAGGCGGAGCGGAGAACGCCAGCGCTCGGTGTGCCATCTGCGCAGGCGTGGGGGGGGGGCAGGCAGGCGAGGGACGAGGGACGAGGGAGGAGCAGGCAGTGGCGCGCAGGCGAGCGGAGGGGCGGAGCTGGAGAGCAGCAGGCCTGGCGAAAAGCGCGGGGTGCCAGGGAGAGGACGGGGGACGACCGGGACGGGCTGCCTTCTGGAACGTGCCGCAGATGGTCGCCATGGCCGCGGCGTCCGAGTCCTGGAGGTCGGCCGACGTGGCGGCCACGCACGTGGAGCCCAGCCTCGTCAGCGCGTCCACCACGGGGGCCGCCTGCTGCGTCAGCTCCGCGACCGCGCCGCGCGCCGAGGCGCGCTCGCCCGCGTTGCCGTAGTCGGTCGCGGCGATGGCCAGCGCCGCGAAGCCCAGCTGCCGCAGCTGCTGCTTCACCTGGGGAGGCGAGCGGCGCAGGCGGTCGCGGCACGCCGAGACCCAACCCCCGAGGTCATGAGTTGTTCCCCAACGTCGACCCCCAGAATTCTCGACCCCTTCCCCGGGACCGGCTTCTCACCCTGAGCCGCTTTTGTTGAGGGCCCCGAGGCCTGGCGAGGGCCCTCCGAGGCCGAACACGTAGCGAAGAGCCTTGCGCCGTGACTCGAGGGGGTCTGGGGAGGGAGAATACAAGAAGAAAAAACGGCATGAACATAGACTGTTGGCGCTCCGCGCGGACTTCTTGGGTCTGCAGCTGGACCCGGGGCGGCGACGCCGGGGGCCCAGGCGCCGATCCAAGAAATCCGCGCGGAGAGCCGAAAGCTGATGTTCATGGCGTTTTTGTTTTCTTAAT